AAATTCAGAGACTGCCGAGCCAAAACAGATCACTTCAAAGCGCCTTATTTAACGCTTGCTAAATTTTTCATCACAGTTGCTTAATATCCTGGGGAAGGGGAGCTTTTGAAGTTGCGGCGAGACCGGGATGTTCTTGTGACAACTTTCCTTTTTTTCCCCTCTCTCCCTCCTCCCTCTTTTCACCTCCTCCCTCTGCTCCTGCATCCCTCACTCTTTCCACAGGAGGCCAGTGATATTTGGGGCACGCGGTGGAGCCCCAGCGGGCAGAGCGAGGCTGGGAGAGCGTCCCATGGAGCCGGCAGTTACCATGCCAACACACTGAGCGTTATAGTCGCTGGCGGTAGATCGCAGGAGGATACCGCAAAACACCATTGGAGGGAGAGATATTTAACCTTTCACACACCTTTGAGGCAGAAAGCCCACCACAGAAGACTAAAAGGCAAAACACCAGAGCTGACAAACATGGATTCGAACCAGCTTTGCTTTTTTGACAACCTGAAGTGACTTTTAACCCCACCCGTCATTATTATGGGTAAATCTTTGAATTCCTTGCTACATTACATTCAGATGTGTTTTGAAATTCGCAGGCATTCAGTGATTTACAGTAATAATAAAAAATGCAGTAGATCAGGGGTGCCTAAACTATTTTGTATAAAGGGCCAAAAACCAAATATCATTGAGAGCCATGGGTGGAAGGTAAATAGACTAAATTACATTAAAGTTGTCATGGGTAATTTTCATAATTTATGGGAAAACATTACTTTAAATTATTTATTAATAAATTATCAATGCAGTATAACACTAAAATGATTTCCTATTGCAATAAAATTATAAACAATCACATTTAACACAGTGGAGTTCACTAGTCAAGCAGAATCTGCCCCTGCCTTGATTTGTCCTCTATCCGACAGCGTGTACATTTAAACTAAATCTGTTTAAATTACAATTTTTAATTGAAACATTTAATTTCAGTTAGCTTTTAACAATAAAACAAACAGACAAAAGTTAACATGAAATGACAATCTCTAAACTAGGGATAGGCTGATAAACGATAATATATTGAATACCGATAAAATTTGTGTTAATAACAATGATAAGCTCTGGACTTTTTCACTCTATAATCATCTAAGTAAGATCCAATCACACAGCAGAAATGTTCTGTGATATTAAAGATGCACCGAATTTTCAGCCACCGACAAATTAATCGGCCGAAAATCTTACGCCATTAAATGGGCCCATTACGCCATTATATGGCTTCAGTAATTGTTGGGATACTCTTTTAAATCTGGAAGCTTTAACAACTTATATCGAAATATATATGGTATCCGTTCAATATGGAAAATAATTATCGCGATAGCATTTTTGCCATATTGCTCAGCCCTACTCTAAACCATCACTATCATTTTTCCTATCTTCTCAGATAGGATGGAGGGCCAAACCAAAGGATACCATGGACCCTAGTTTGGGCATCTCTGCACTAGAGGTTTGTTCATGGAATAGATTTTCAGGTGTTGGAAAGACAAAAAATTTGGTGTGTGTGAAGGAGGGGGTGAAGGAGATCATAAAAAGGAAAGGAGAAAAAGAAAAACATGAACACAGAGTAAACCCCCCCCCCCCCCCCCCCCCCCCCAAAAAAAGAGAAAATCTAAATTAAAAGAAACAATTATCTTTATTGCTAGAAGGGAGAAAAACAGAAAATCATGCTAAAAGTGGGAAATGGAAATGCAAAGAAAAAGAGAGGACAATTGAGCGAAAAAAAGAAAAGCAAGTCAAATTAAATTAGCTAAAAATCTAAATAAACAGAAAGAAAAGAAAAGAAAAAAGAAAAGAAAGGGGGAATATTACAGGGAAGAACACAAGGAAAGGGCAATGAAAAGGAAACAAGGAAAATAAATCAAGTGGAAATGGAAAAGAACACAAAAGAATGGAAATAAAACTGAAAATGAATGAATGAATGAATGAATGATTGAATGAATGAAAATTAAGAGAAAAAATGAAAGGAAAAGAAAAAAAAATAACACGAAACAGACAAGAAAAGAGCAATAAAAATTATAAGAAAAGTGAGATGCAAAAAAATAAATGAGAATTAAAAATTAAAAGAAAACAAAAAAATTTGAAAAAAGAGAAAAATGGAAAATTGGAGAAAATGAACAGGAATTCAAGAAAACAATAAAAAGATAATAAAAGCAATTAAATTAAAGGAAACGTAAGATGCAAAGGAATAATAAAGCAAAAAGTGAAATGAAAAGAAATTAAAAAGGAAATGAAAATTAAATAAAATGAACAGAAATTTAAGTGAACAAAGAAAAAGATAATGAAAAAGCAACGAAAATGAAAGAAAAGATGAGGTGCAAAAGAATAATAAAACAAAATGTAAAGTGAAAAGTAAAAGGAAAGAGGGGGAAAAGGCAAATGGATATGAAAGAAAAAGAGGAATGCAAAGAAACAAAGTGAAATGAAAAGATAAAAATAACAAGATAAAAGAAAAGGCAAAAGTAAGGGGGCGATTAATTAAAGAAAGACTAAAGTCCTGCAGTGTGTGGGAGAAAGAGAAGAAGGACAGGCCAGGAAGAAGAACAAGCCCTGGAGGAGAGAACTCAAGCCTGAACTCAGCGACTGGTGCTGGGTTTGAGTGACAGCACAGGTCCAAACCTGCTCTGCCTCAGACTCCAGCCAGAGTTGCCTGCCACCGAGGAGCGAGGGCCGCCCATCCGGCGAGGTGAGTCAGAACCTGTTAACGTGACTGGTGTCCCCAGCCTGACACCCCAGCACTCGCGCCCAGAGCCTCCCTCCAGCCCTGCCACTATTCCCCTTCCGCTCATCCACATCAAATCCTTTCAGACACAGATTTCAATTATTCACCCCATCCAAATAATGCCTTGTGACATGAATTATCCAGAGCTGTAATAATCCACTTAACTGGGAAAGAGCAGCTCATCAAAAAGAGAAAAGCGGAGAAAAAAAAGGGGGACTTGTCAAGCAGTTAGAAAGCCAAGAAGCCTTAATAATCGTCATTTTTCCCCGCTGTTAAGGACAGTGCTTTGAGCATGGCTAGATAGCATTCATAGCGGAAAATCACATCACACAAAAGTGCACAATACACAGCCTAATTGTCCAATGATAGTAAATGTGCCATAGATAATCCAAGAACTTCCTAGTTTAAGCGCAATAAAAGAACGAGAGCAGTTCCGCTACTAAAGGAGAACACTGCAGACTGGGTATGGGGGAGGATTACTCACTTTTACAGCTAGTTTGCTCACAAAACTGCCTGCTTGCAAATCACAAACTAAATGACGGTCAAAAGTTTTCAGGCCGATTACACCTGAGAATTGACAATGACAATAACTGTCATAACATGAAGTATTAATATAGTTTCAAATAGTTGTTTGTTGTATGACTATATTTTACAATTGCATTTAGTCCTCGAAAGGTAAAGCATTCATTACAATCTTGCCATCTAACATGCTATTTTGGTTCTCGAGAGACATTTCATGTATTATATCAAAGCTTTTTACTTTGTTTTGATCATGCGTTTTTTATTCTTTGATTAACAAAATTAAAACAGTATAAATCTGAAGTGGTGGCATGGTGGCTCAGTGGTTAGCACTATCGCCCCACAGCAAGAAGGTCGCTGGTTCGAGTCCTGGCTGGACCATTGGCATTTCTATGTGGAGTGTGCATGTTCTCCTCATGTTCGCGCAGGTTTCCTTCAGGTGCTCCGGTTTCCCCCACAGTCCAAAGACATGCACTATAGGTGAATAACAAATTGACTCTAGGGCGTCACATTGGCACAATGGGTAGCACAGTTGCCTCACAGCAAGAAGGTTGCTGGTTCGAGCCTCGGCTGGGTCAGTTGGCATTTGTGTGGAGTTTGCAAGTTCTCCCCTTGTTCGGTTGGGTTTCCTCCGGATGCTCTGTTTCCCCCACAGTCCAAAGTCATGTGGTATAGGTGAATTGGGTAAAATAGGGTATGTGTGTGAATGAGTGTGTATGGATGTTTCCCAGTGATGGGTTGCAGCTGGAAGGGCATCTATTGCGTAAAACATATGCTGAATAAGTTAGCGGTTCACTCCCCCAGATTAATAAAGGGACTAAGCCGAAAAGAAAATGATTGAATGAATGAAATTGGCCATAGTGTATGAGTGAATTCCCAGTACTGGGTTGCAGCTGGAAGGTTCATACTGATGTGGTGACCCCTAATGAATAAACAGACTAAGCTGAAGGAAAATTAATTAATGAATAAATTTGAAGCATAATTCAAATTTAGAAAGATACAACCTTAACTGGCTGATTACTTCTAACATGACAACTACATGATAATAGACATAAGAGAAATCTACTTTAAAATAATTACATTTGTAACTGTAAAATTCAGCAAAAATGCTATTGAAAAGAAAACTCGGTTTTTAAACAAGTATGAAAACTGTAAGAGAAGTAGCCACAAAATTCATGTCAATATTCTACAGTATAATGCTGTTCCATCTATCCTTTTTATCCATTTTTAATTAGTGTGACTACAGGTGTACATTATGGATACCAGAATATATGTTAGTAGCAGTTTGCACTGTTAAATTCCAGTTTAAAGTGTATTTTCTGTTTTGTAAACAACAATTTATTAGTAATTATTATAGTATTTTAAAAGGCTGTTAAGTACGCTTCCATTTTTCAAATACAAAAGTATTTTTACAGAATTATTCTGATAACCAAAGCTGACAGTCATTTATCATTATTTTTTGGAAAACTAATTTCATATAATGTAGCCTAAATAACGAATGCAGATCAAGCAATCCGCTTTTAGAACATATCTGACTGCTACATATTACTATTTTTAAAAATCACAAAGTAAATACTGGACAGTGCAAAACAAAAAAATTGCATTGTACACGTCACATACAGTAATAATAATAGTAATGTGAACCATTGTTTCAAACTGACTCTACCGCTGTACAGTCCGTGTTGAGAACAGTGCATGCTGGTTAGTCTGACTCATAATAACTTACCAGCGCTTCTCTCGGAGCCGCGTCTTCCCTGGCTGAAGGAGCATTCTGAAAGAAAGAAAAACAGCCTTGTGTTACACTGCCATCTAGTGACGCGTGTGAGCCAAGTACAGAAAAGCACAGTGCTAGACAGGACAGCTCTAACCGGACAAAAGGGTGTCAAGAATATATAATACACATATAATAATAATATACAACATATAATAGTAATGATAATAATAATAATAATAATAATAATAATAATAATAATAATAATAATAATAATAATAATAATAATAACAAGAATAACATGTTTTTTTACTTTTTTTGTTTACAGTTTTTCTCAGTTGCTTTGGTGCATTTCTCATAACACTATTTAAATTTGCACAACTGTTAATGCATTTCTCAAAACAATTAGTCATTTGTGCACATCCTAGTAGCAGTTTTCCAACAAATTGCAAATGCTTTCGGACATGCATCAATTGCTTTCATACAACTCTCTGCTATTTATAATATTATCATTTGCTTATGTCATGTCAGTCAATATTAACTAAACTTGTAAATGCTGACTGACTAGTCAATCCATATACAACTAAGAGTCCTCATTTCATTACTTGAGTCATTACATACAAAAAAAAATGTTGTCAAAATCTGTCGACCAAATTTTATAAAAAAAATAAAAAAAAAAATGAAATCTTTATTTTCCTCAAAATGTCTCTAAAATTTAACAATTTCATGAATGATTTACTGACCTGTGTGTGTTGTTCCAATATGTACTGTAATATTTTTTAGTTGTGCCCAGCTCTACCCAAAGGGAGTTTATGTTTGTTGTAAATAAGGGTGTATTTATTCTTTTGCACAATGCTGTAAATAAATTAGGATTGTATAGAGCAATTGCAGTAAAAATGTGAAACATACATATTCAGTGTCTTGTATTCAGATTTCTCACTAAATGCAGTGATGTCCAACTTTACTGTAGTTTTCAAATGGCTGTGCAGATACAGTAGTATACAGTGCTGTCTTGAGCATTTTCAGGAAGTGTCACCAAAATTTGACTTTTTTTTGCATTGGAAAACATGTAAACTGTTATATTGAAAACATGACAAAGCCATTGTACTATCTTGCTCATAAACAATGGTGTCAGGACTTTTCATTTTGATGACACTGATACTTTCATTGACATGAATACTTGCTTTTGAGGAATGAACTATCCATTTAGAGCATGTGACGCGCTTTTGCAGGTTATCAACTAGGTTTAGCAGTTTGTACTAACTGTTTTGAGAAATGCATGAACTGTTGTGCAGAAATGCACTAGTGTTGTGAGAAATGCACCAAAGCGACTGAGAAAAACTGTAAGTTAACAGGATGAATGTGCAAAGTGTTTCCAGATACATAATCAGAGGCAAGTACAAAAGCAAATCATAAACAAAAAAAGCAAATAGGTTAACTAATAATTTTTCTTTTTTGAATAATAAAATTTTTTATTATTGTTGAGAAGAGCAACTCCATCAATGAGCCGCTAGTTCCAAATAAAGCAAGCCAGTGGCGAGGAACAAACATTTGCCGATTGGTGCAGATTGTTCCTCATCACTGTCTTGCTTGGTTTGGAACTTGTGGAGCTGTGCATTGTTGGATTTGCTCTTCAGTGTTTTTGCGTTCAGCAGTGACATTTACATTATACTAAACTTCAACTGTGAAAAAAATAGACTGAAGCAGTTACAATTTACTGGAACTGAAAAAGCGCTATTAAAATAAAGATGAATTGAATTAAACTGGAGCTTTGTGAAGTATAAAAAGCTCTTTAAAAAATTATAATAATAACATTTCTGAACAGCAATGCATGTAACATCCATCATTGTTGAAAAATTAATCAACTTATAATAACTTAATAACTTATAATAACTTAATCTTATAATAACTTAATAATCTTATAATAATTAATTATATCTCTTCCATGACCAAAAGAAGTCTTGTCCTATTAGTCTAAAAGAAAAAGTTTTCCCTAATCATGTATACATTACAATGGTTTGTTACATTAATGACTGCCATTAGAAAGCATTAACACTCCTGCCTTTATCATCGCTCTTCAAATGAGTCAGTCTTTGGCACCACAGTTTTGGTTCAGATCATTAGATCCACTTTAGAGCACTAAGTAAGCCTGCAAGGCTCAAATTAGGACATTTAATTTACTAATTAGCCATTAAGATGACTCTTTTAAGTAAAATAGACTTACTGTAAACGTATTAGCCTTCCTGAAGCAACCTCAGGATAAGTATTCAGCTTTAAGGAAAGTTTATACTGTCATTTTCAAAAATTAGTTTTTTTTAAAGAAGTTTCTACACAACAAGGCAAAATTGATTTATTACCACAATTCAAATGTACTTTTTTGTATTTTAGAATGTCTCACTATTTACTGCAAAAAGAAAGTCACATGATCCTTCAGAAATCAGTCTAAAACGCTGATATTCACTGCTTAAGAAAGATTTCTCCTAGGAATGCTCATTATCAGGATTTTGTAAGTCAATACTATTGACTGTTTCTGTTAACTTTTTTGCCAAAAGATAAATTGCACAGATCTAAATGTAGCAAATTTATCCTTTTTTATTTACTTTTACATTAGATTTCAGTTGTGATGGTTGTATTTCTTGTGCAGCTCCATTTTTGTTCCCTTTTCTTGAGCTGGAGCAAGAGGCATTTTTTGTTAAATTTGCTGGTATCTTTGCTTTGAGCTTGATCTGTCTTTTTCCTCCCCTTCAGGACGCTGTTTTTTTACAGACCAAATTTAATGACTAATGATAACGTTGTCTGCAGTCTACTGAAAAGCGAATCCCTCATGTATACTGTATGTTTATAATATAATATAATATAATATAATATAATATAATATAATATAATATAATATAATATAATAATTTTATTGTCTAAATGCATGTGCATAGTTTTTTCTTTTTCTTTTTTTCAGAATTCGCTGATGTATATAAAAGGAATTCTACCTGACAACAAACAAGAACGATAATAACATTCTGCTAGGGAACCATGATGATTATGACTATTGAAAGGCCTTATATCAGACACAATAATATCGAGCCACATATACTGTATACTACAGGTGTCAAACTGGAGGATTGAAGCTAACAACAGTTTAGTTCCAACCCTAAATATATACACTTGCTCAAACTAATTGAGTCCTTCATACTTGTTTGAAACCTATAGGGTGAATGTGTTGAAGCAGGGTTGGAATTAAACTATATAGGGCTGCGGCCCTGACACCCCTGTAGTAGACAGAGGACTGTAAGCTTACAAAACCTGATTTTTAGATGCCATTAGTTACAACAGAACAAATATTTACACACTGAATGTCTGATTAAAGGTGTTGTCTAGAAAATTGTTGCATTTAAAGCCTTGTGGAGTTTGAAACAGTATTTTATGAATTAAAACAGTCATCTTCACAGAGGACAAATACAAACACATCCCACAGGGTTGACACACACTTGAACAAAACATCAGTAGCCGTTGCTATCAAGCCTTCACAATATAGACATTTTTTAATATAGATTTTTTTTAATATGGTCTCAAGAAACTAAACACATAAACAGATTTAAAATGCCACTATTAATTATAGCAAAATGTTAGCATTGATACCTCAATTTAAGAATATAGTCATTAAAATAAAAACATTCAATAAAGTTGTTAAAAGAAAGAGCAAAACAAAAGAGCACAATGGCCAAGTTTCAGAAATAGAACCTGGTTGGTTTGGTTTAAGGCTTATAATTATAGTCCTTTACATTTTTACAAACCCCTTTCAAACAAATGAGACAATAAATTAGGAATCAGGATAAGAAGCATCTATTGATGCAAACAATATACATCAGCTAAATATCAAATTAAATATAATAAATTGTTAAATAATTTTTCTGTCTTTTTTAGTTGTTTCTTTGTATAGTAAGATATGCTTATACTATCCTTTAAATGAAATGTATACATTATACTGATTTTTATTTTTACTTATTTGTATCCGACTATACCATAAATATATGCATAAAGTAAAGAATTAGAACAGCATGAAAATGGCTAAATTATAACGTGCTGTTTGTTTGCTTATACACGTTTACATTGTAGCTAATAATTTGGATAAATAAAGCTTCCATGATAGCTGTCAACAGTTCTTTAATGAGAGATGACCAGCACATGGAGGAATGGTTGTGTCCTGTCATGTTTTCAGGGTCAATGACCCTTGAATGAACATAACAGATAACAGATGATAATTGTTGTATAACTGTTCCGCTTGACGTTAACGTTAAATCATGGGGAAATCTCCTGAAAGCAGTGTTCTCTGTGACCTGTAACTGTCACACACATCTGTCTAACTGTATAGGATCAGTAAGCAGGACGCTAGCAACCCTGCTAAAACTTTTCCAAAACAATATGGGACAACCTTATTATTGACTTATCAACAATTAAGGTGTGACAAATAGTGCATTCACTATGCACGTCCACAGACGAACAATCAAAATGCATATTATCAGCTGGAGGAATGCTATTAACTACCTGATTTTGCGGGTCAGGTTGGTCCTGGGATGCCATCTCTTCAGCGCTGTTAGCCAGGAAGCTAACGACGCTATCGCGTCACCGGAGCTCGATTACTGTAGTCTGAACTAGCGAGGCGAAGTTCGAGTCGTTTTTGATGGTCGGTTCTTTTGAACAGTTCTTTTCGAAGAGTCTTATAAAGGTTGGGTGGCTTTTCTGTACCCAGTGTTAGTTGTTATAACAACTAACACTGGGTACAGAGAAGCCACCCAACCTTTATAAAAGCAAAGTACCTTTTTTAGTACTCGAATGATGTTTTTATTTAGTAATACTAGTAGTAATAGTAACAACAGCAACAATAAGTGTGGAGTATTGGACACTATATGGTATGTTGCCAAAATCCCATAGGCACTTATTTTGAATACTATACAACCGCAAAAAGTCTATGATGGACTTGAACGTACATCAATTCACCGCGTTGTCGCGCTTTCGTTTATCAGTTCAATTAGTTTGTCAAAAGGAATCGACTCAAAAGAACTATTCGTTCACTTCGCAAGGCAAACAAGCTGTGACAGACTCGATCAGCAGCGCGTTTCACAACACGGAAGCAGATATCTACAATGTTTATTTTCAATTCTTTTAGTACAGTGTTACAAATATGTTGAGAATATTTAGTTTAACGTTAGTTATGAGGCTTTAGACACAAAACTAACAATCAAAAACAAAAGGTGATGCTCTAAAAAAAAAAGTAAATTGTGATCTCTGAACTTTGAACATCGTCATGACAGAATTAAAACCATGTAAAGTGTGTAACGTCAGCCGACAGAAGTGCTACGGACTGGCCGTGACCTCTCTTGATCAGCTCAGAATAAAAGGTTTGTCTGAAAAATATGAATCAATTCAAATATGCTAATATGTGATTTTAAGCCTGAGTTTAATAAGTGGCCCGCTACATGAAAGTTTAGTTGAATTAAGCATACACATACAAAATAACAGCATTGTTTAAGTTAAACAGATATTATATATAAAGAATGCTTTTTGCTATATAAATAATTCGCAAATAAGCCGATATTACAAAAGCTTGATCCCCTTTGCTCAGCTGGTCACATGAACCATCTTCATCTCTGTCTCCCACAGGTGCTGAGAGTCTAGGCTTCTGTCCCAGTGCATCAGTCTCAGTGGTGCTGGAAAATGATGGGACAATTGTAGAAGATGAGGCTTACTTTATGTGTCTGCCAGCAAATACTAAATTTATGTTGTTGGATGCCAACGAAATATGGATGCATTCTCATCAAAGTGAGATTTTCCTTTTTATTATTACCAAAACATTTATGTAAATAACTACTAATACAAACTGGTCTCTGTTGTCTAGTTGCTGGTGGGACAGCCCAGTCTTGTAGAGAGTCTATGGAAGTAGATGGAGGGTTTGACTCTTGGCGTAGTTTGGCAGAGCAGCTGAGGCAGGATCTGGCCAGTATTATCCTCATGTCTGAGGCAGATCTACAGGTATTCTTAATATTACTGACATACCTGAACATTATCATTTAATGCAGTTTTTCTCAACCATGTTCCTGGAGGACCACCAGCTGTGCACATTTTCCATTCCTTAACCAAACATCTGATTCAGATGATCAGCTTATTACCACAGACTGAAAGAGCTGTAATGGGTGTGACAGACAAAAGAGACATCCAAAACATGCAGTGCTAGTGGTTCTCCAGGAATTTGGTTGAGAAACACTGATTTACTGTACAAGTACACTGAGGGTCAACAGTTTGAAATCATTTCGATATCTTATGTTGTTTGTATTTTATGTTCACAATTGGTAAAATTCACAAAAGGTTTATATTTAAAAATGTAAAAGAGCAGTTTTGAGCTGTCAAAGATGAAATATAACATTTAGTTGTAGTTTTGTTGTTTGTAATTATCAAACATTTGAATTTAAATGTATTGTCTTTCTATTCTTAGGAAAAACTGTGATAGAAATATTGCAATTTAAAAAGTTAAAAATATATATTTACAAAAATATATAATTATAATAATATATTATTATAATAATTTTAATGATAACAATTAAACATAAAATATAATATTTTTTGTTATTGTAACCAAACTCATTTAATAGTTTATTTAGTTTAAATGCAGATTGATTTGGATAAAAATATAAATTTTCAATAACAGGTGTACTCATTTATGTTCTTATTGATCTGCACTGTTTATTTATTTATTTATTTAGTGGAAACCATGATACTTTCTATAAGGATTCTTTAGTTTAATCAATGTAATGTTGACCTGTTAAATTAATTATATATATATATATATATATATATATATATATATATATATATATATATATATATATATATATATATATATATATTTGAAAAAAAAAGATCTTATACATAAAATATCTTCAATATTCATAATAATAATAATTCTAAATATTATTGAGTACTACTTCTATTCTTGAAGACTGGAGCGATGAAGCTAAAAAAGGGAAAATGCATCTCTTTATCACAGGAATAAATTAATAATAAAATATTTTCAAATAAAAAACAGCTACTTTAAACTAACATATTCATTTATTTATGTAATATTTTACTGTATTTCTCTTGCATTATTCTAGCCTTGATGAACAAAAAGCCAAAACGTTTCACCCCAATACAATATAATATCATTAGCCAATGTTCCTTACCTGGCTTACAGAGAATAATTAAATGAAAATATATTTTTAGAGTTTAATAGATGTGCCACGCTCCGATCTGGCTTCAGCGTTGGAATTCTCACAGCAGAAAACCCACGTCTTACAGGACACACTGCAAAGAGTGCTGGACCGTAGAGAAGAAGAGAGGCAGTCCAAAGACTTATTGAGGCTCTATTTGAAAGCCATGGAGCGAGAAGGCACTTGGGATCCACAGGAAGAAAGTAAGGATATGTTTACACCAAACATTAGAAATCAATTCCAACAATCCCTAGTAAAATCCCCAAATAAGCAGCTTTGCCTCAGCGTCCACCAGATGGCGTCACTGAGCTGTTTCTAAATACTGTACCAGTTTATGAGAGCCCCTTTTTTCTGCCTTTGCTTGATTGAAGAAAAGTAGCAGCTTGGATGATCAACAGCTTATCTGTTATTATGACAGAACCAATCTTTCCAGTGCTTTTAGGACATTTATCTACTGTCATTGCTGCAGGTGCTAACCTAGATGAGACAGATGGGGTGCAGGTGGAGGCCGCAGCAGGGTTCAGCTCCACCACACTAATGGTTCTGAGGGACAAAAGATACCCAGAGACCAGACTTTCCAACCAAGAGCTGCAGGTATGATGTCTGGTAAAGTTTCTTGTGTTTTTATGATTTATTTAAAGGGTTAGTTCACACAAAAATGAAAGTGACTTCATGATTTACTCTCCCTTTATGAGAGTTTTGTTCTTCTATTGAACACAAAAGAAGATATTTTGAAGAATGCTGGTTGTTGGCAAAAGAAATTCACCATGGTAATCATTGGATGCCAGCTAGAAGCATTAATCAATGAAGTTTGGGGCAAGTGAAGAGTGAGTAAATGACGACAAAATTAAATCTTTTTTGGTGAACTGCCTCTTTAACTTGATGTTTCAGAATCAATTGGATTATGAACAGTAGATCTTGCTTTAGGGTCATGTGTGATGTCATGTGGACTTTTCTTTTGTACTTTCAGTCATATATCAGTAGGGGGCACTCATTCTTTTTAGTGGCATACTATGAACACAAGCCACAGGAGTATAATCGGTATAATAATTTGCTTGACTAAATAATCAGGAGTTATTTAGTTTAATACAAAATTATATTCTAAAATAATAATGAAGTTATTATTTAATAAATGACAATAAATTAATGTGCGTGTTTATTGTGCTTAATTAAAATTATTTTATTACTGTGTGATTTGGATGTGGGTCAAAGAAGGGATGCCCCGATACAATCACACATCAAATTGAATTTAATATTCTTGTTCAGAGAAAAATATTAAAGCAACAGTTGAACCAAAAATGTAAATGCTCTGACCATATTTTCACACTTCTCATAAGAGAAGCTAATCTTTTATGAATTTCTTCCTACTGTTGAAAACAAGATACTCTGAAGAATGTTGGGGGGGAAATGCAGCCATTTACATCCGTAGTAGGGAGGAAAAAAAGAATTCAGTGGCTGCTTTTTTCCCAACATTTTTCAATATATTCTCCTTTGTGTTCAACAGCAGAAAGACACTCAAACAGATTTGAAAGATGTGGAAGATGTGTCTGTTTTCATCTTTTGGTGAACTATCTATTTATAAATAAAAATCAAGTGTCTGTTTTAAGTAACAATTATGAAAATAAAATGTCATAATTCTATATAAAGATTTCTTTGTAAGAATCAAACAGCGTTTATAAAACAAAAATGACAAAAAATCATAATTGTGATCATAATTTAAATTTTTAAATTATCAAAATTACTTGCTAACAAATGGGTAAAACCTGATAATTTGAAGGAAAATGGCAAGTATAACAGGGTGTCCACAGTGTCTTAATATGTCTTAAATTTCAAAAACTAAATTTTAGGCCTTGAAAAGTCTTAAATTCACTGAAATACAATCTTGTAGGTATTAAATAATTGTGAACAGGTCTTCATTTTATTATGTCCATGTAAAGCTACACAACACGCATTCAATCACCAACAATCCAACTCTATAGAGCTTTTAACAAAAGTCTATTTATAACTCTAATTACACTATGGTTTAATTATCGCCCTTACAATCATATTTGTTTAAAAGGTCTTTGTGTATTTATAGGCCATATTTATAAAGATGTGTTTTATTGAAAATGTATGTATACAGCTAGGGTTTAATTGTTTTGACAATTTATTTAAAACATCTGGCTAAGAAATAATAAATTATAATATAATGTAAAAAAAGTTTTTTTTACTGTTGTCCTAAAAAACAGAAACAAAAAATGTAAATAAAAAAATCTTGCTCATACCTTAGAAACGGTATAGCTGAAAATTGACTGTTTTAAAACCTTGACTATTCAAAACCACTGTATACCTTGAACACAGTTATCGTCCCATGCCTAAATAAAACATTAGGTCAGGAATATCTACCTGAAAGTTTTGGAAAAGTCCTGGAATTTTAGTAATAAAAATGTGTATGAACCCTGAAATACTGTCTTTGTAA